AAGAAGAAGAAGAAGAAGAAGAAGAAGAAGAAGAAGAAGAAGAAGAAATTAAAAAGGTAATTGGAGATCCTGCCCTCTTCTTTCTGGGTTTCCTCTTGATTATTTAACTTAGTCTAACCAAGTAAAGCTGATCCAGAGAGAGCTCCACTTGGTCCACTCAGGCCCATCCTCACTGTCCAGCATTGTATTGCTCCTGTGGTGGCCACACCTCAGAGGTGAGAAGCAGCCTTTGAGAACGTCTGAATTTGGATGCGTGTTCGCCTCCTGGCTTCTGTCACCACAAGGATGCAGGCCCTTCCGACACCCCATAGAGTTCGGCGAGTTTCCGGAAGCGGGGCCCCCAGTCCGTGAGGAAGTCGAAACTCTGCTCCGAGTCCGACGGGGCCGACTGCAGGGAGCTGAGCGAGCCGGCCGCGGAGCCGTCCCCCTCAAACATGTAGGTCTGCAGGGAGTCGAAGGGCGGGGCCCACAGGTCCATGTCGGCCTCGTAGAGCTTGGCCAGCACGTAGCTGTGGACGGTGCTGCTGACCGCGCAGGTCTGAGGCACGTGGCGGGAGAGGCTCTCGATCTCGGGGAGCATGTCCTGCCGCGTCTTGGGGGCAGCGCCCGCCTGCGCCTCGCGCGGGTTCCACATGGCCGCGATGTCGAAGGCCTCCGTGTCCTCTTCGCCTCCCCCCTCGTCGTCGTAGCGCACGATGTTCTCGTGGATGTTCTCGTCGTCGTCGATGATGTAGGGCTGTTTCCGGTGCCGCCTCAAGGACAGGATGAGCAGCACCAGCACTGCCAGCAACACAAAGAACAGGGGGTGTCAGTCCCGAGACACTCCAGGTGGGTCAAACCTGAGGGAATGAACCTCGTGGAGGTCTGCCTGATCCTCCCTCCCACACTGTTACATTAAGAGCTCATGGGTAAGTGAGGCTTTATAGTTCTTAGGTCGAGTCATCAGAAACTGCATACCTTCCTAGAGGCTTGCTGCTTTGAGAATGTCTGTAGACATAATGAACCGGTATGAAATTCCACTAAGACCACACAAAGCACAGGGGCCTGCTTTAGAAGACACACCTCGCATCAGATCATGTACTCTGCTTACAGACTAGTGAGTTTAGTATACATTTGCTATAATCTAAATATCTCATTAGGTGGAATTCTGCTTTCTTGCATTAGCATCTTAATGGGATTCTACTAAAAATACAACCACATATCAACAAATAATGAGTGCTGACAAGATAAGTGTAATTTTTTTTTTTTTTTAATGCCGTCTTCAAAAACTAAGAGCAATGTGGGAAGGGGTTTACCAGACTCCAAATCTAACTGAGAAGCTCTGGACATTTGGTAAGTCCTGGAGTTTTCAAAAGTTTGGCTCCTGGTAGGTCAAGCTCAATCCATTGGCTAGTTCCACATTCGGGAGTACCTGGATGTACAAATTGGAGTGTTTGTCCCTTTGGAAAGGGACGCAAAGTTGGGGGTGGGGATGTGGGGAGGGGTCTAGGAGTTTTAAGGGTGAATATGCTTAGGATACGCTGTATTAAATTCTCAAAAAAGTTAATAAAAATATTTTTAAAAGCCTAATGAATGACCCTTCAGGTTCAATAACTTCAAGTTCCTCAAAAGGACCTTTAATTACAGGGGTATTTGCAATTTTCCGGAGCCAGTGGTTTTCATGGGAGGGAAGGAATGAGCAGTGACATTTTACATAGTTCAGTATGTTACCAAAGAAGCGCCACATTGTTGGACGTGCCCTTGAAGGTCTGGATAAAATTTTATCCTAAAAATGTATTTAAATTTTTTTTTTTTTTTTGGCTAGGTGTGTTCACTGGGGTTTAAAGGAGGGATAGAGATAACCCCATTGAACTGTTTATCTTTGTAACTGAAAACATTTCCAGGAAGTGTGTTGAGGTTTAAGCTATAGAACTGTTATTGATTTTTTTTTTCCTGGTGTGCTTTGTTACAGCTGGTGAACAGTGACAGTTTGACAGCACTGCAAAATAAAGCAAGCTCAGTTTCTTCAAGGGGGGTGGAGGTGTGCAGTAAGAGATTGCGGACTGACTAAGAAAGCTCACAACAACAGATTTAAAGTTTTTGATGAGTACAGACCACAGTAATGATGATGCATACACAAAATGCATATACAGAAATTAATGATGGATGACTGGATTTGGAGAAGAGGGAGGAGAGATTCTGCACTACACTAACTGCCTCCTGGCTGGAGTGGCCTGTGGCTTCCAGTGAGGTTAGGTATAGAAAGGAAAGGGAGGCTGAAGCATGGGCTTCCACAGGGCTGGGGGTGGGACTGAGGAATTGGATCTGGAGGGGAAGCAGGAAAGGTAAAGGAAAGGTCTGGGAGTTTGAGGCAGTATGGACAACAAAACAAGACACCGTCTTATAAAACAAAAATAACTCTAGCCAGGAAAGCCAAAGCCTACCTGGATTTTCACCTCATCTGCCTCCCCTCCAGATTCAATCCCTCAGTCTTATACCCAGCTCTGTAAAAGACCACCTGCTCACTGCCCCCTTCCTCTCTGCTGCTAACTCACAGCCAGGACAATGTCTCCACGAGTGGCCAGCAATCCTACTACAGGTGGCCCCAGGAGAGACACCATAGTTGAAGCACAAAAAAAGACCTTAAAATAGCCCTTATAAATATGATCCTTAAAGAGAAGATGAATAAATCTATTGAAGAAATCTACAAAATCACAAACAGTGAAAAAACTAAAAATAAAAAGTTCAAGACCTGAAAATGGAATAGAATCTGTAAAGAAAACCCAAACTGGGGGAAATCTGGAAATGAAAAATGTAGTAATTTAAACATGAACCCCCTGAGGTAAGCCTCAGTAACAGATGGGAAAGAGAATCTCGGGCATTGAAAACAAGATGGGGAAAAAAAAAGAAAACAAGATGGAAGAAATGGATAACTCAGTCAAAGACAATCTTAAATCTTAAAAAAAAAAAATTGATACAAAACATCCAGCAAAGCTGGAACACTGTGAACAGACCAAATCTAAAAATAATAGAAACAGAGGAAGAAGAAACAGAGAACAAAGGCACAGAAACAATTTTCAACAAAATCAGAAGAAAATTTTCATAACCTAGAGAAGGAGATGCCTATCAAAGTACAAGAAGCATACAGAACACAAAATAAACTGGGTCAGAAAAGAAATTTCTCTGAGCACATAATCAAAACACAAAGTGTAAAGAACAACAGCAACAGAAAGAATGTTAAAAGCTGACAGGGAGAAAGACCAAGTAACTCACAAAGGCAAAGCTATTAGAATAACACTCACCTTTTCAATGGAGATTCTAAAAACTAGAAGGGCCAAGACAGATGTTCTAAAAATGAAAGAGACTACAGATGCCAGCCCAGACTACTATATCCATCAAAACTTTCAACCACAAAGATGGAGAAAAAGCACTCCACGATAAAACCACATTTATATATTATTTATCTACAAATCCAGTCCCACAGTGCTAAAAGAAAAACATCAACAATGAGCAGGTTAAAACCCAAGAAAACACAAAGAATAAATAATTCCAGGCCAGCAAATAAAGAGGAGAAACACACACAAACACACACACACACACACACAAAACACACACACACACACACACACACACACACACACACACACACACACACACACACACA